TGGCAGAGGCCCTGGAGGTTTTTCGCCTTCCTCCACAGCATGGGGCAGGGGTCGCTTGCTGGAGGATTCTCTGCGATTTGAAGTCTTTAAATCATGATTTGGGGACTTCAACAGCTGAGTCAAGGGAGAGAATTATTCCAGGAGTGGGTGGGTCAGCTTTTGTGGCCCGCATCATGCGGGAGGTCAGACTAGATGATCATAATGGTCCCTTCTGACCTTAGAGTCTGAGTCTATGACTCTCCTCTGAGTCTCCCTCCCCCAGAGCCACATGAGGTCACAGTTGCCTGTGCCTCGACTTAGAGGGGGACAGACCCCAGCGTGCGACGTTCCCTCGTGAGCCAAGCCGCTTGGCGCATGCCGGAACTCGCCAGTGTTGGTAACAGTAAGGCAGCCCCAGGCAGCACTGGGTGTGCCGGGTCTGTCTGTGTGTCTCCCTCCCCACCCCACCGGGATCAAACAAATGGGGAAACCCCTGTTCTGGTTCCAGGGCTCCCCCCTCTCCACCTCCTGTGCCAGGCTGGACCCTTTTCACAGCCCCAGGTGCGGCTAAGCCCAGTGAGAGGTAGTTACAAGGCTGCTGGAAACACACTGTACCTAACAATACGCAGCTCCTGCACGGCGCCTCTCAGCAGCAGAGCCTAAAGCGCTTTTCAAAGGAGCTGAGCATCATTATCCTCATGTGACAGATGGGGAAACTGAGGCCCAAGGAGGGGCAGTGAGTTGGCCAGGGTCACCCGGCAGATCAGTGGCAGAGCCAGGAATAGAGCCCAGGTCTCCTGAGTCTCGTCCAGTGCCCTATCCAGATGGGCCTGATCTCACTACAATGGCACACGGGCTTCCCCGGGCACCTGCAGCCCTCCGGTCTTGCTCCATAGCAGGGTGAGAGCGGCCTGGTCTTGGCCATTCACCCCAACCCCTTTCACTGTGCGGGCTGCTTCCTAATGAGCAAGGGTGAAAGCCAGGCTTCACCCAGCTGCGCCTCGGTTTCCCCAGGACGGCTGTGGGGCATTGCTCACTGTCTGTAGGGTCTCAAGAGCTTCAGATGCAAAGGGCTTCCCCAATATAGAGATGCAGCAGCCCCTGGGAGGGTAGGGAAGGATATTTAGGGATTGCTTCACCCGCCAGTGGAATGCAGCAGCTGTTAACAGGGCAGACCGACTTGTGGGGGGCAGCACCCCTTATTGAGTCACACATCCTGCTCCTCGCAGCACAACGCCCCTAGCGCCATGATGGGATGGTGGGTCATTGCTGAGTCAGAGGGGGAAGTGCTGGCTACTGAATCAGCACCACTTCCTGTCACATTGACATGTTCCTCGGAAATCTCCCGTCCTAGAGTTTTGCCTGGCCTAACCCTGCTTAGTGCAAGATCTGGGGGAGCGGCTAGGTCTGTCCTGCTGCTGCCAAAGCCCAGGGTCTCCTGGCTGCATGCACCGCTAGCCCTCTGACGGTCCAGCATCTGGGACTTCCCCCTCCCCTGGCGCCATCTTTCTGGAGCTCCAGCTCCATTTCGGTCCATGTTCCTTTAAAAACTGTTTGCAATTCAGTCTTTCTCCAGCAGCAGATTCTCCAGCAAAGACAGCACAAGGCCTTTTGCATGTTTATTTCGTTTGCACAATTACAGGGATTCAGCTCTTGCTATTAATAACGTCTGTTCCCTTCTCCCCTGCCTGTTAAAACCTCCGAGCCTTCTGCCCGTTTCACTCTCTCCAGGTCACTGATCGAGAGAGGCAGTAGAGGGCGAGTGGCTACTGTTGACTTCCCCTCGCTGTATTTTAGGTGAACAATCAGCCACAATATGTCCACCCCCTTCCTGGCGCTGCTCTGAAAGAAAGCTGTTAAATGGCTTGATAAAGGAGGCCAGGCAAAACAAAGGAATAAAAGACACCATTAGCTAACAAAAATGGATCCACCCAGCAGGGTATAAGCTAATAAGTACTGGGAAGTAATTTGCTTTTGCCAAATGACTTCTCCCTGAGCTGCAGGTTTCCCATAAGCTCTCGGCAGCTGTAGCTGGCCCCGTCGGTGCAGAGGCAGCCTTGCTGCTAAAGAGTATTTTAAAGGTGATTTGTGAATGCCTAATTGCTGTAGGCCACGATTCACTTGGCAAACAGGCGGCTGTGACATTTATTACTGCATTATCTTTGTTACATAAAACTAACCTGAACATGCCTCTCGGGAGCTTGTGCCCCTTGAAAGATCCGTGAGCGGTAAGCTGGCCAGCGTTGGCGTGGGGCTTCGCTCCGGGAACAGCCCGGCAGCAGTAGGGGGTGTGGAATGGGCAAACGTTCCCTGGCCAAAATCAGCTTCTTCCCGGTGATCAGCCAGAGGCGAGTCCCCCGGCTTGCCTGCCTGCCAGTGTGACTTGCTGTCACCCCTCCTTTGCGCGCGCTTCCCTGAGCTACCGTCGGCGCTTGGTTGTGCTGGTGTAGATCTCTGGCGTGACTCTGTGGAGGGCCCTGGAGTTACTCTGGATGTCTGTGGGGGAAATTGAGAGGGGAATCTGGCCGGAGTTCTCGGGAAGCATGGGTAGGCAGCACGTAGGTTTCAGCAAGCGACTTGGAAAACAGGGCGACTTGCATCTCGTCCTAGGATTCGGGCGTCTTCTTAGGTTTCCTTCAGCCCATTCCCCACGGGCCACAGCAAGATCAGTCCCTGTCGATTCACCAGCACTTCGCCCAGTTCTAAATGTCCCAAACTCCTTCCTTTGGGCAACTGTTCCACGGTTCAACAGGCCTTGCTGGGAGGAAGCGCTTCTGTTCAGGAAGGAGGGGCTGGTGGCTAAGGCATGCGACTGCGTCGCTGTGTCACTGGACCAGTCCCTTAGATTCCCTGCGTGTCACTCCCCCGTTTGTAAAATGGAGGTAACCGCACTCCCCTACATGACGGGGGCAGGAGGAGAGGGCTAACGAATGGCTGCTTGTAAGGCACTCTCATGACTGGCCTTCATCCCAGTAGTACTGAAGAACCTAGACAGATCAATGTCATCCCCTTGCTTTTAGTGGTTGTAATTCTCTGAGGTTCATTGCTCTGTTCCAGCCAAAGCCCTCTCTGTACACACACGCAACTGAAGTCCTGTCATGTGGGTCAGTGTCCTTGCCCCTGTTGGTTAACTGAGCCAGAGAGCCATTAAGAGACTTTCCCAAGGTCACGCAGCATCTCAGTGGCGGAGCTGGGCATAGACCGCTATAGTCCTCTCTCCTCCCCTCGGTGCATCACTTGCCTTTTTAGACTGTAAATTCCTCAAGGAAGCAACTGTCTTCTTGTATCACATGTTCAGCCCCAAACCCAACTTGAGTCCAATCCAGACCTCTGGCTGGCATTGTAATACGTACACTAAATAATGACTGGCCCATATGTCTTCTCTTATCCCCTTGCACCACCCTCGAGAACTCTTCTCTCTCATGAGGGGTTGCACCCTGTTAAACCCTGCGGGGAATATTTCCAGCCCCACGTGCACTGACCTCTGGGGCTTCCCGTTTTTAAACAATCCTTTGTGTCGGTTTTCAGGAATGTGTGAGATCTTGGCAATCGATTTAAAAGCAAATGAGAACTAGACTCTGACAGATGGAGCAGGGCTGTGCCCGGGGGGCGATGCTGGTGCCCTCTCGTCTGTTAATGAGTGCGTGACTCATTTGCTGTAGCACTCACCATGTGCGAGGCAAAAGGGCCCCGCCCCAAAGAATCTCCATTGGAGAAGACGCGAGCTGAGGGGCACAGCGTGCGAGGGATGTGATCAAGGTGGCCGTGGTCACTCAAGTTAACACTGGGGGTTTTTCGTGAGCTGGCGAGGGTCTCCCCAGGCAGCCCCAGCCTCCCCATAAGCAGCCGGTTAGTTTCTTGTAGGGGGTATGTTGCATATAAAAGACAAAGCCCCCAATATTGGGGTGTCCGGTCACCCTAAGAGTGGAGAAGAAAGGGGGAGATGCAGAAAGAGACACGGGGGGGGGGGCTGAGGAGGAGACAGGTCTGCACAGTGCTGAAAACAGAGCCAAGGAGTTTGGATTTCATGTGGTGAGGAAGGGGGAGGCGTCAGAGGGATTCAATGGAGGAGCAAAGAACATGATCTCCTGTCCCTTTCGCTTTCCTGCTTCCTGGCCACAGAGCAAAGCCATGAAACTGACCAGATCTTGTATGTTTCACTTTCCTGCTTTGCTCACTTAGGGGGATAAGTGGAAGTCTGGCAGGAGAGGCATGCTCAATGCCAGGCTGGCCTCTGTGCCGCTCCTGTGCCACTGGGGAGTGCCCCCAGGAGGTTCAAGGTCCGTCGGGTACCAAGCCATCCGGGGAGAGAGGTCTGACGGGGCCCCTTGGCTCTAAAGATCATGCCGACAATGAAGGGCTAGAAGCAGCGTGTCCAGAGAGCTGGAGGCGGCCGGTAACAGCCAGGGCTGATTCCTTACCCCCATACAGCCCGTAGCAGCCTGTTGGACGACAGCTGGAGATGCGCTGTGTGCGGTCAGCAGAGAGATGAATGCGGAGGCCTTCTAGTTTAGAGATGGGAATTAATCAGGAGCGATGTTTCCTGGGGTAGCTCTGCTGCCACCTCCTGATTAGCCTGCCAGAGCTCTGGAGATGGAAGGGGCCAGGTGCAGCTCTGCTAATTTCCAAGGGAGACGTTGCTTCAAGGCCTGTAACTGCATTGCAATACCAGGCAGTGGGGACGAGGATGCGCCCTGAATCAGAACAGCGCATCTCCGGGAGCAGATCCGTCAGCAGGCCCGTGCGAGGCCAGGGAGCCGTGGCCTCCGTCCTCCTCAGCGTGCACTTTGGGCTGGGTCTGGAGTGAATTGCAGCCAGGAGTGAGCTCCGGGCCGAGGTTCCCAAGGGTGCTCCCGAGCCCCTGCAGGGAACGTGCCTTTTGTTGGCCTGGCATATGGGCTTCTAACGAAGCCGCTCACTGATGGGGGGAGGCGTGTCGGGTAAAACAGGCTTCAGCCTTGCAGAGCGCACCGATCTAGTTCTCTGGCCGCTGACCCCCCTGTGGTGTCTCTCTTTCGCAGATAAGCAGTTCCTCGCCTTCTTCTTCAAACAACTGCAGCTGAACCGGAGTGGGCGCTACCAGGATGCCTTCCCCTACCTCTCCCCCTGCGGCCGAGAGCACAACTTTGTGCGCTGCGACGACCGCCCCATCGTCTTCACCCACCTGCTGCGGGGCCAGGCGGGCGAGGAGCTGCTCTCCTACTGCGGCGGCGGAGACAGGCTGGTGGTCGGCTTCGAGCCAGAGAAGCTGGTGATGTTCCCTGAGAACGGGCGCGTCTATCACCCGGCCTCGCAGAAAGCCGGCGGCGTGGGGCTGGTGAAATCGTCCCTGGCCTTTGAGCTGAGTCCCTGCTTTGAGTACAGCCAGGGCGCCGGCGGGCCCCCCACCCACTTCCGCTGGCAGGGCAAGCGCTACACCCTCACCAACGAGCTGGTGCAGCTGATGCGCTCAAACAGCAGCTCCTGAGCCGGGGCGTCGCCAGCGAGGCTGCCCGGCCCTGGGGACAGAGCAAGGACTGGCCCAGAGCTTGGCCATCTGCAGCTGTGTTGGCTGCCTCGCAACAGCCTGAGGACAGCACCTCCCTGGCACTCACTGGAGCAGATCGCACCCAGCCCCCTCTCTGCAGCCCACCCCCTGGCTGCCCAGCCAGATGTATGCCACTTGGGCCAAGCGACCCCGGGGTTGGCTGCTTGAAGGGCCTCCATGGGCCTCTTCTCCAACAGGGGTGTGGGTGCCCTGTGCCCTCGAACCCCATGGGCTGCACGTAAGGCTCTAGATTGGACTGGGCGGCCATGAGCTCCGAAAGCCACCTCCTAGTGGGAGCCGAAGGGAAGCCGGAAAAGCAGCAGCTCTTGTCCCCTCTGGTCCAAGAAGATGGCCAAGCCCGAGGTGAACGGAGCCCCTGCTTGCTGAGCTGTGCTGGGATTCTGTCCCTGGAGAGCAGAGCGGGGTGGAGCAGACCCGGAATCCATGTTCCTTCACCTGTGGCTCTACAAACCCCCCAGCCCAGGGCCCCTTTCCTCCCTTCGCCCCCTCCCCATTTTAAGGATCTGCAGATTCGGTGTGGGCCCAGGGCCTGCTGCATTGCTTGGTGCGTGCTCACTGTGTCTGCCCTTCACCGAGCGGTGAGCACTGTGGGGAAAGACCCCGCCGCTCAACCTGCTCCCCCACACCAAGCCAAGAACAAATCTGCCCTGCCCCTCCTGCCTGTCCATAGCAGGAGAGGCCGTGAGAGGCTGCTGGGAGTGGAAGGAGAGACTTGGCCAGATTAGCCTCCGTGCCCCCAGCCAAGTGCCTGTGCCCCACGCCCCATTGCTGTGCTCATCGGTTTCTCGCCATGCAGCCCGGGGTGCTTCATGCTGGTAGAGATCCCCGCCTAGGCAGGCTCCGCTGAGCTCCCGGGTGGAGGAGTGGGATGGCTCGTGGGAGCCCAGCGGCGCTTGCAGGGAGGCTGCAGCGTGATTATCTCTGGCGTGCTCTGAACCGGGATTAGTCTGGGGAACCAGGAGCTTAAACTGCCGTAATAACCGTGTTTAAAAAGCTCTCTGCCGTTCCATAACTGCGCTGCAGATAACCCGCTTTCGGAGAGGGTCGTCGATGGGTGCCTGGGGGATGGAGAATCTTTAGCCAGGCTCCCCGCAGCGAGAAGGGCAGGGTCTCCCCGGGACCTGCCCGCTGGGGCTCAGCCCCCCAAGCCCACTAGCCCCCTGTGGTAACTCCTGGGTTCCACTTGACCCCATGGCCTGTCGGATCCCCCTCCCCTACCTCTGGGGGCCAGGCTGCAGACTTGGGCCTCCCCCTGGGGCTGGTGGGGATTGTGATGCCCCTTGTCACGCTCTCCTGGCTTCCGCCCCAGCCCCTAGTACTGCCTGGAAACCAGAGACCGTTCGTGTCTGTCCAGCCAGGCTGACGGGAGGGCTCGATGCGCTGCCCCCAGGGCCGCCATTCCAGCCGCCTCCAAGTTGCTAAATAAATGCTGACTCGATCCCACCCAGGTGCCTTTTAATGGGCCCGATCCTGCCCCCCCTCAAGGTGGCAAAAGTCCCATCAGCCTTTGGGCTTTTGCTGATCCCTGGCCCAGGGCGTTTCCTGTTTGGGGGCTTGGGATCCCAGCACGCTGCCCACGTGCCGCTCACACCACGGATCCAGGCTGCCTTACGGGTGTCGATTGACACCAGCAGGCCGAGGCCTCGTGCCGGCCCGCCCCAGGGGTTTGAAACCACCCTCTGCTGCCCCAGCACAGAGCACGGTCGGGTGCCCTGCCAAAACCAATCGCTGCGCGAGCTCGCTGAGCCGCTCAAACCTCCTCTTAAAAGGCTTTTTTCCCGGGGACTTAATGCTCCTTGACAGCTTTCGAGCGGGACCCTAAACTTAGCCAGGCTGCGCTGCCCCTGGCATCTGTTAGCAGCAGCCGGCCCAGCAAGCCCCTCTCAATCCTCAGAGCCTATTTTTAGACAGCCCGGAGGTTTTCGGGTTCTGTTACTGCTTGGCAGCAGCGAGGGGTCGGAGGGGCACTGCCCGGAGTTAGCACCAATGGGGTGGGAAGCACCAGGACAGCAGGCTGGGATCCGTGAGCACAAGGGGTGTGGGCTCCTTTCCATGGGATCGCATAGGCGTCATTGACCCCTTGGCTGCAGGCTGCCGGTTCTCTGCTGTGTGAACGTCACGAGTTGCCTCCCCTGGAATTTTCACTCATCCGCTGATTGTAGGTGCCTCCGTTTTTGGTATCCAGGTTGAGACCCCTCCAGCCTGCTCCTTTCGAGGGGCTGAGCCCAGTGGATAGTGCGGGGTTCAGCACCTTTAAAATGCCTCAAGTGGGCACCCAGCACCCGAGGCCCTTTGCTGCCGGCGCCTCCGTTTGCCCAGTTGTGGAATTGGGCCAGTGCTGCCGACCTTTGTGAGATGCCCTGAGATCTCTTTGTGCAAAGCCCCGTGGGAGTCCTTGGGCGTGTCATTGTTCCAATGGGACGCTGTCCGCTGGGGGGACTCGGCCCTCGGCACCAGGACGGCAGCAGCCAAGTGGTTAATGAGTCGCGTATGTTCCCCTCTGGAGCAGGCCTCCCTCCGCGTGGGTGGATGCGTTCAGCCTTCGGCAAAGCCTGTCCCTTGAGTTTGATTCCTCTGAGTGGAAAAGCCCAAGTGAAGAGAGGACGGGGAGGGGGAGAGAAGTCACCCAGCAGAGTGCGTGGGGAGAAGCCAACCAGGCTGCATTGGTGTGACCCACACAAGTCGGTCTGAATGGGGCTGGATAAACTGGCGTATTGGACTCGATTGCTGTGCATGGGGTGTGCTGCAAACGGCTGCTCCGCTCGGCTGCCGTTTCCTCGACACACACACACACACACACACACACACGCGCGCGCGGCTGGGGGCTCTGAGTGGAACAGTTTGGGGTTTTTTCTGTGACAACAACTCAATAAATAAACGATTGGCAGCAACCCGGCCAGGGATGGGCTGATTTCTTCGATGTTATCACTGGATTGTGGGGTCCAAGCTTCCCCCGGTTCAGGGATCCACCCTTGCTTTCCAGCCAGCAGCCCCTCCGTCCGTCAGTCAGTCACCTGTGGGGATAGCCCCCACCCACCGCTCCCATAGGAGTCGGGTTCAGAGTCAGGGAGGTGGCAGCTGAATTGCGGTACTGAGCCACGGGACGGCCCTGCTCCATCCCGGGACTCTCCAGCCCAGCCCGGCCAGCAGTGCTTTATCGGCTCTTCTGTCGGGCATTCTCAGGGCCGCTATTCCGTCTCCACTCTGGCCACAGCAAACAATCCACTCCAGGCAACGTGGGGGAGGCGGTGCTGACGAGCCCGCCCAGTGGGCAATGAACATGGCAGCCACCACATGTCAGGTGCAAGGGGCCCTGTGCGCGGCTGGCGGCTGGTTCTCCCTGAGTCACCGCGTGGGCCGGGCCCCGCTGCCTTCTCTTCCTTTTCATGCTTCAAACAAGACAGGAACGCGTCGGAGACAAGGAGGAATGAACTCGTGGGAGCGCCTCTACGCCCGCCAGGGCTGTGTCAACCCCCAGCTTCATCAGAGCGTGACGTTCAGCCTGCTCCCTTGGGCTCTCCCTGGCTTCTCCCAGCTGAGAGGCCGGGACAGAGCAGGGGCCGAGGGACAGGAATTAATTAATTGCATGCTGCAATTAACCACCGCTCGCTCCTCGAGCCAATGCGTTCTTCCAGCCCAGTGGTACGGCAGCCAAACCTTCAGGGAACCACGGAGTGAGCAGGGAAATCAAACAAGTGCAGCTGAGCGCTTTCATCTCCACAGAGCTGTGCAGCCATTAGCCCTCGGGGCCCGGCCAGGAGCCTTATCTCCCTTGTTCAGATGGAGAAACTGAGGCACAGAGCGTGAGGCGGGGGAGGGACTTGCTTGGGGTCAGACGGCCGTATCACTGGAGTCCTGGATGCTGTTGTGTGCTCTGATTGGCATCAGCAGGGGTGGCAGCCACGTGCTGGCAGCTGGCTCTCCCTCTGCTGACCAAGTGGCAGCGCCCCAGGGTACTCGTGGGAGAGGGTGTAGCAGCTTTAACGGCTGGAATGAGCGCTGCAGAGGCAGCGTTTCACCCCAAGGGAAGGGAGTTACCCTCTGGTGAGCCCCACACCCAGGCCACAGATCATAGCAACAGCGAGGGAGCTCTGTCCGGCCAGCTGTGGCAGTGGGTACTTGCCATGGCGGGAAGCCGCTGGAGGGGCAAAGCAGAGCCCCCAATTTCCCATTGTCCCGAGGCTGGGAATTCTCCGAGCCCTGGCAATAATCTACACCCACTGTTCAGCTTGAGAAGTGCCGAAGCTCAGAGGAAAGCGCCGCGCTCCCCATGCTGACGAGCATTGGACAGGAACTGGGAGTTTTCCTCTGAGGGGCATTGCAGGGAACCAGTAGAAAATAAATCCCCCCGAGTCTTCCTTCTCCTCTGGGTTTTCACCACTGCCGATTTTCCATCCAGTCGCTGGCTCTAAACTCTCCGCTCCTGCTGCCCACGTGCTGGCGCCTACAGCGGGAAGGAGCATGCAGGGGTGTTCGAGCTGCAGGCGCTCAGGCCGCAGAGCGAGGGAGCTGAGGGACGTGGAGCCACGGCTGTGCTGGAAAGGGGCCTGTGCACCGCTGATCTCAACTGAGCGTCCTGCCGGGCCGCGCCGCGCCAGCGACACGTCCCATGTGTACGTACACAACAGGTGGGTAGCGTGTGGTTCCTAACCAGGGGAGAGGCAGTGTGTTCTAAAGGGCTCTTTGGCATGGGGCGAAATGCAGAACAAGAACCGAGGGCTGGAAGTTAGACCAATTAGACACATTTTTCAGTCAGGGTCAGTAGCCACTGGAACAAACAACCAAGCCAGGTAGTGGATTCTCCATCTCTTGAAGGCTTCAGAGCCGGCCTGGCTGCCTTTAGCCAAACAAGGGATGGGGCTGACTAGCGGGGTAATTAGGAGGCGGTCAGACAGGATGCCCCAAGGGTCCCGTCAGGCATGACAGCTCTGAGATGAGCACACAAGGTGCAGAGGACCCACAGGCCGGGTCCTGGGAGAGAACAGCCTCTGAGGGCAGCTGCAGCTCGCCTGTTGGCCAGACCGTTGGTACAAGGCCGTTGGCTGTGATGGGTGTGTTCCCGAGCGCTGGAAAGTCCTTACGTCTGGCTCCACCCACCAGGCGAGTCGAGGCCCCGGGCGAGTTTTGTTTGGCCTCGGTTCAGGGCCAACTGAAGAGCAGCGGGACCAAATGGTGCATTTACTCTAGGTCCTTCGTGCGAACAAAGCTAACTGTGCCCAGACCAGTGTCAGAAAGCTGCTGACGAGGGTCGCAACCCGGGAGCGGGTGTGTTGTAATTCCTGCTCCTGTCTCTGCTCGCTCCCGTTCGTTGGGCGATAGCAGGAGAACCGAGGGGCAGGTGAAGCGCAGGGAAACGAGCCACGTTACACTGGAATAGCCGCCGAGGGCAGGGGCACGAGCCCTGTTGCTCAACACCCTTGAAACGAGTCTGGACAAAGCACAAATCGGTGCCCGCAGGGAATATGCTGTTCTGGCTGGGAGACGGGCTGGCTGGGCCCATGGGTTATTCCTCGCCTTGGCCTCCACCCACCCTGAGTACGTGTTATCCCCCGGGCACGGCTCAGCGAGCCACGTACACCAGCCCTGCGTGTAGCTGCACGCTCCAGGCTTCTGCTGAAATCCCCTCTGGTGCTGGGAATGATGTAAAAATAAATGGAGATATCCTATCTCTTAGAACTGGAAGGGACCTTGAAAGGTCATTGAGTCCAGCCCCCTGCCTTCACTAGCAGGACCAAGTACTGATTTTGCCCCAGATCCCTAAGTGGCCCCCTCAAGGATTGAACTCACAAACCTGGGTTTAGCAGGCAATGCTCAAACCACTGAGCTATCCCTCCCCCTTTGTAAATTCTGTTTCAGCTCCAGGGCCTAGACCTGCTCCCCCGCAGCGGGGAAGTTCAGCCCATGCTGGTGTCATACCCTGCACAAGTCTGGTCTGTCCTTTCCACGGCACGTCGCCTGAGCAAATCCCCCCTCCCCAACGCGTGTCCTCCAGGAGGGCTAGTTCCAGGCCAGATTTCCTCATTCTCCCTTAAGCCGTGTTGGCTTTAGAACTGTTCAAAACAGAGTGATGCATTTATCACCAGGAGAGGCTCTTGGGGCTGGCTAAAAACCAAGACCCACTAAAGAGTTATGCAGTAACTAGGCACCACTGAAGACGAGATACTGGTGTGCAAGGCCCAGCAAGGAAGGAGGGGAGGGATGGCTCCACCCTGGGTACTTGTGGCTCAGGACACGACTGATGCCAGGGTGCAGGCAGGGTTGCTGATGCCGTTCGAGCAAACTCGCTGGCACCGTTGCCTGGGACGTGAACACACCACAGAGGAATGGACGCACGAGCCGCAGCATGAAGCACACTAGTTACCGAAAGGCCAGTGGCCGTTTCACTCACACGCTGTGTCTCGCCCCGAGAATTGGAATGGCAGAACCAGTTCGTTTCCCCAGCTGAAATTCATCTTTGGGGCAGGGCCTGAGGCTGGGGAGTGCTGGGAAAAGCAGTGAGTGGCTGAAAACGAGGGGGTTCATAGGGAACCCGGGATGCCGGCTTAAAGGCGGCCCAGGGTTCTCTGCCCAGCCTCGCTAGAAGATGTGTTGAAACATTAGTACTGATTTGTTACATCCTAGCGCCGAGGGACCGCGGAGCTGTCCAGCGTTGTGCCAGGCGCTGTACAAACAATGACCAAACCGTAGTCCCACCCCAACGAGCTGACTAGCTCAGCATAAGACGACAGTCAGACAAGGCAGCACCAGGAGGATGAGAGGCAGTGCTCACAGTACGTTGGCGCCCCTAAGCTGGGTCTATCTGAGAGGCAGGGTAGCCTCGCAGTTAAGGCAGTGGACTGGAGTCAGGCATAGGGGTCTGCATGGGCCAAATTTTTAGGCCTCAACCGGACCCAAGCTGTAACAATGCTGGTTCTGGTGGGACCCAACTAGTGCCAATTCAAGACGAATTGCTTAAAACAGGGCAGTTACAGCCCTAGGCTGGGGTTTTTCCACCTCTAAAGCAAACCAAACCAGCCAGACAGAGAGGACTTTGGTCTCACCCCACTGGCTAATCACAAGTCACACAAGCAATTCCCTTAGATACTCCAGTTTCCCAGTATCACCACCAGTGCCACTCGTTATGGGGATGAATGGTTATGAAAACCAATACCCCAGTAAAAGAAAAAAAGGTTCTCCTGATCCCAAAGGACCAAGCCCCAAACCCAGG